GAAATTCATGTAACGTTTTTAGGGAACAATATTTTATGTTCAGTTGTTGCTGTAACAGATCTGTATTCCCATTTTTATGCTCAGCGACACAAATAATTGCATATTTTTACCAAAATTAACAACAAAATAAGTGTCATTGTGGCAACACTACACAATGACATTTATATGTTTGACACTTGTTCACATTGTTGTGACTTTTAAATGCCGGCAAAACATCATTGTATTCATAGTATGAATTTCATACACAACCTAAAATATTATTTCTTATTATTACGTTCAATTGCGTTACGCCAAATAAAAATAATTTTGAAAGTGTGTGCCTTTTTATTGAAGAATAAATTGAAAAGTGGTAGCCATGCCTGCGTTAGATGTCAAAACCTTCGAACCGACAGAAATGACTTGTCGATTATAACGATCGGAACCGATCCACCATGCATCAAAACAGGCATTGCAAAAGTGAATAAAACAAAAAAAATCAGTATTTGAACAGAAACTGGAGTAGGAAAAGCATCAAGAATGTTGTATTAAATAGAATACAAAGCTGTTGAGTAAATAGTATTGACTAACATTGCACAAATGTGTCATTTTCAACACAAACCGAATGTGCGTGTATGTATTTGAACAATTTTGAATAGATGTGGCATTTTAATTCAAATCAACAATATATCAGATGAAAAACCTCTAGACGAGGTTAAAATGGAGTGACGCTCCTGTGCGTGGATTTACCACTCAAAATGACTGATATCATTTTGAGTGACGCTTTGACGCTGTATTATCTCTGGGTACGAAGTTTAAAAGTATTTTTCGCATTCACTATTGTGAAAATTTATTTACAATAAAGAACAATATCGCGTCACGACTTTTGGACGGCAAAACGCTTTAAAGCTTGACTTGAAGACTAAATTAAAAAGTCGTGACGCGATATTTTTCCTTATTGTAAATAAATTTTCACAATAGTGAATGCGAAAAACACTTTTGAACTTCGTACCCAGAGATAATACAGCGTCAAAGCGTCACTCAAAATGATATCAGTCATTTTGAGTGGTAAATCCACGCACAGGAGCGTCACTCCATTTTAACCTCGTCTAGAGGTTTTTCATCTGATATCACTAATTTTGTAAGGCAATTATTCTCGGAAAAAATACACTTTTGCCAGAAATATGTCTATTTTAAGGTCTTATCATTGGGAAATTGTAATTTTTCGGGTAAAACATTTGCATCCACATTTCGCAAGTTTTGTAAATAGCAAATATCCACTTTCATTTAAAAAGTCCCATTTTCCCCTTATTGGACATTGTAAAATAAGATTAAATTTCAAAATACCCATTAAAAGAGTTTTGAAGTAATTTTAGACCCAATACTTCATTGAAACATATTAATTTCCAACCACCAAAGCTCTGGAAAGTGCATTTTTTGAGGATCCCCCGAACAAAAGTTCAATTTCATACATTCAGATGTAAAAATACCGATTTATGACCAAAATGACAACGAAATGGATATTCAAGTGTTGGTAGACTCCCATTATTTTCACGAAATATAGCAGTTTTCTAAGCCAAAATGTCGTCAGAGGTCTATTTCACGTGTTTTCCGAACAAAAACATCATTTTCAGTGAAAATAGAGCAAGTTGAAAAATTCACTTCAATCCGACCTATTTTTCGACCATGAAAAGCCCTCAGATCGCATTGTGACCACTTTTAATCGATTGCTCATCGAAGATTGAGCGGATATGGTCTTTCGTGAACCTTTTTCAGCCAGTAGATGCGTATTTTTGGCAGCAATTTCATCGTAGAAATAAATAAATAAATAAATATGCCATTTTGTTGGTATGGTTGCCGGCTACAAACGCTCAGTTTTTGATAAAAGATTCTCGGGCTGATTTTTGAGAAATCGCGTTTGCTGTGAAATTTAAGGGGGTCGATTTTTCATAAAAATCGACTATTTTTTTTTATATCACATGAACATTGGCATGTGTGTATGGAACTTTTTGAAGGTCTTCTCAAATAATTACGAGCCGACTTTGCCCAATGGGTGTCTGAGTTGATCTAGTGTGTGAAATAAATACTTGAAAAAATCGTATACATGCAGGCTAGTGAAGCCATAGCCAGCTCTTCTGTAATGCAAATGTCAATCTAAGGACGGGTTTCGATGTGGCCCGACACCAGCTACAACTTGGGCATATCTATACCAGAATCTGTGGGGGTCAAAAAAGCCAAACAATACTTTCATAGAAAACCATGGTCAAACTGCCAATGCCCATAACTTTTTCGTTTTTGGACCAATCGGAGTGCCTGGACCGGCGTTGGAAAGGTGGCGAGGAGGAGCTTCTCTTGGACACCTCGGACTACCCCCGGGTACCCCCTTCGTAAGATATGGGTATAGATTTGAAAATTTATCGAAATTTTTCAACCGCTATATTTTTGCCTAGACCACACTTTAGGCATGAGGGATATGGTGTTTCCGACTATTTGGGCCAAACCCTTTCCAACGGTACCTAACATGCCGGGGCCCAAATAGTGCCCTGAGAAAATAGCATACTTACTGTATATATACTCGTGACGCAAAAACTGGCATTTTTGATATTTGGCTTGAAATGCATAGTCAATGGTGCGTCACTTGTCGGACTACCGTCCTCCGTGATATACGATATTGGTAATTAATTTTTTAATTGTCAAGAATGAATTACCAATATCGTATTGTCATGATTCATTTTTGTTTGACTTGAATTAAAATACCACATCTATTCAAAATTGTTCACATACATACACGCACATTCGGTTTGTGTTGAAAACGACACATTTGTGCAATGTTAGTCAATAGCTTTGTATTCTATTTAATACAACATTCTTGATGCTTTTCCTATTCCAGATTCTGTTTGATACAGGCCGGAAAATTATTTTTACTATGAGGTGTCTAGAATTCGAAATATTTATCATTTAAAATAAAAAACATGATCGATTGAAATGTCAGAACGTCAAATATGGCAACACATCGTACCATATAAACTTGATGACAAAAACATGACCAGAACTAAAAAATTTTTATTTATTAAAATGAAAAAAATTAGAAAGGGTTCAAAAGTAAAAAAGGAGACTATTTTAATTCATTTTTATATCTAATATGAATTAGTGGCGCAATGTATTGTATTTAATACATTTAACAAATCCCACCACTGGTGGCGTATTGGTTTCTCATTTTTGACGTTTCAGTACCAAAGGCCGCAGTCTGCGAAAAACTGGAAAAATTGACTATTTTCTCGACATTTTGCCTTATAGCTCCCACCAGATGTAATTTTTGGGTATAGTTTTTTGCTAGTTTGCACCTAAAATTTAACGCCAAATATTTTCTTAATACATACCAAGGCTATAAAACCATCACTAATGGGAGAAAAATGGCATTTGTTCAATACCACTTTGCATTTCAATACTGGTGGAAAGGTAAAACGCCGAATTTGATATTTAAAAAATTTGAGCCAATTTTAATATTCTGAGAACGCAGCTGTTCTTAGATTTGGCCCTCTTAAACGCCTGATTTGTCCGGCTTCTGTGCCAGACAATAAAAACCATCGGGAGAACTGTGTAGCAAATTTGATAGTTATAGATTTACCGTTTCAAAACATTCAGAGGAGATTTAAAACGAAAAATGAGCATCATAGCGCAAACTTATTACTGTCGCACCATGAACGATAAAATTGGACGAAATCAGTTTCATCAATGACCAAATAAGATTTCTGACTTTCTCTCTTTGTGCTTTTCGTAACAATTTCGAAACCATTATGTAGAAGGAAGATGCTCTTATGAGTGCTTTTGTGAAAATTTCACAATGCTTAGAAATTAAAACTATGTTTTCGATTCGGATTTTCTGCTCGAAATTTACATTATTGTAGATCCGTGGCATTATAGGCGATTGAATTTCCTTATTTATGTGCCAGATTTTCTCACATGAGCATTTTCCATCTAAACAAAGGAAACCACATCAAGGATGTTCAGTGTCCACATACCTGCAAACTGGAATCAGCTATTTGCTTCAGACCGATTGATAAGCTTTTCAATTTTGCTGGCGTGAGCGAAAGACGTGACAGCAACGGCTTACTAAGCCCAGATTTAGTTGCTTCTTCCAAATCCTTAGCATTTGCCTCGAGAATTTGTGATTGTTTCGTTATTAGTAAATCAGCAAGAGTATTTACACTCGATGCTCGTTCTTCTGGAGTTAGCGACTGTAACGTTCTACTCCCACTGCGTGCTACAAAAAAAGAAGATGAATAAAGTGATTTCATTTACGTAAAATAACTATTGGACAATTTCACATATCGCCGAAGAGAGTTGTTAGTAACAACTTGTTACCAACGAGGAAAAAAAAAATCAAAAAGAAAGCTTGCGTAAATCACAAAAAAACAGCCCTTATGCTTACCATTTTCAGCCAGCATGTCGACAGAATGTCCACCTGCGGCGGTTTCCGTGAAAAAGGTACCAACTTTCCGTCCGGCGATAATTGTTTTAATCGCTTTATCTTGTGTTCCATTGCAAATGACAACACTTACGCCACGATCCAATGCCCATGTTGCAGCATTCACCTTTGAATCCATCCCGCCTGTTCCGACCTTGATATATTTTTATCGTCAGAGAAAAAAACGAGAAAATAAACAAACACACATAAATAACTCGTACAAAACGTTATCACTGATTGTGAAAAACAGTGACAAATGCTTGTTTTTTGTATAATATTCTAGAAGAATGTATATTAGGGTGTTTTTGCCATCAAATAATCAAGAAATGGTAGTTCTGGATTGAAAGAGTGAACAATTCTGAGTCGATTGCATGTATTTTTACTTTAAAATAATCAAAGATGCCACTTCCCGAGATCAAAACAGAAAATCATAGAATTTTGAGGTTACATCACTATTCGCTGAAACTAATCTGATAATTTCCATTTTTTTCGATTCAATCTCACTGCCAGAGACGAGTTCTCAATGCAAACATTTATTATAACGAATGATATTCACACTTCCCGAAGCAAAAAAAAATGTCTAATTTGAATTGTCTAATGTTTTCGGAACGCTACCCAGCATCTGCCAAATTCAAACATTTGAAATGACAACCATTCCAACTACTATGTGCCGAACGAACCGTATAAACAAATTTCTAACAAGAACTTCGATTTGTGTATGTGTTTCACATTAGGAGCGTGATTTTGGCACGAACTTCTCTTTCATCGCATACAACGCAACACAACACAACAGACTCATTTGTTATTGTTATGTTTGTTGCATTTGTTTATTTGATTCCGTTATCCGAGCATGTATTGAGTTTCTATATCGGAACCGATTAAACATGAATTTCATCACGAAATGAGTAGAGTTGTTGCGGTACGGTATTTATGTCAAAACCATATTCAGCTGTCAAACGGGGGCCGGTTGATTCATATCGATCTTAGCATTTGAAAAGGCAAGTCATTTGTTGTGAATACTGTTCGATTTATAGGGATTGTTTTATTCGTTTTTTGTTCAAATTAAGTAATTTAGTTAGTGTTTTTAGGTAGAAAATACATGATATCGAATTAGTTTTCCTCATTTTGATTTTTCGTTTGGTGGAGATTGTACACAAAGTGGCTAACATTTTACCGTGCTTGCGATTTGTGTTCCGAAAACAATCAATCCAATTGTTTAAATGTCGAACAAATTACGACCTGCCTATAAAAATGAACATATAATATGATGAAATTTGCTCTTTTTTGTGAATCTCAATCATCTAATCAATTTCTCATGAATTTGTTCATTTTTTGTTTGTTTAATAGTTTTTCATCATGGCCCGTGGAGCCCGTGGATCTCGCGGTGGAAGCGATGACAGATTCACAACAGTGAAACTAGCTCTACGAACAATCATCCAGAAACCGTATCGGCTGATTTTGACAACAGTGATTGGGGAAATGAGCATCATGGCAACGCTAATCTCACTCCTGGCATCGCTCTATTTTCTATATCGACGCTATGCCTTCTTACGTCAACGCCAACTGGTGCAAGAACAAATACTACAAGCACAACGTACGTCAAATTCAAAAGCTTGTATACAAATATATACATGTGTCAATTGCTTATTGAGCGATTTTCTGTTCTCAAGAAATATTTTGAGTTTATTTTTATTAAAAAGCGCGAATATTTTTTTTTTTCAATGCAAGAATTTAATCTTGTTATTTTAAAACGTAAAATCAAACATTTTTCTCGTGTTTTTGCGTGTTTTTGTCAACACAAGAGTAACTTAAGAATTGCGAACAAATGTCAGTTTATTTGTTGACGTTCCACGTTCCGATTGTTTCAATGACAACATGAAGTGACATTTGTCGCAGTTATTCATGTTGATGAAAACACGTGAAAACACAAAAATTTCATTTAATTTTATATTTTCTAAAATATTAGAATATTGTTTTTTATTGAAACATTTTTTTTGAGTTTTTCTCTTCAAGTGATTGCTATATTTATACAAACGTGGTATTTCATTGTGTGGTTTGTGTTTGTTTTGGTTTGTTTATTGGTTGATTCATGTCGACACAATGATTCTAATAGTGATATGCTGTGCAATTGAGGCTTGAAATATTTTTTTTTTCTCATTTGGAAAAAATATCAATGGAATAAGAGAGATATCAGTGTAATGCAAGCAGATTTTTATGTTTTTATGTGAAAGAACTACTATTCAAAACAGTCAATAACAGTATACCCAACCTGTAAGCGTCTGAATGCTATTGGTATACAACGGTTCTATTACATGTTCTTGCACCAGTTGGTGCTTCTGGGCTCATTTATATGAGAACTGTCAAGAAGGCGCAGTGTCGATGCAATGTTACTACGATTTCAAATTGTGATACTTATTTGATTGATTATAACATTAATACAAATACTGTCAAACATAGAGTTACCGAATATTTTAAAAGAAGCAGAATTTGGAGAGAGTAAAATGAAATATTTAAAATATCAAATTGTAAATATATTAAATATAAAATTTCTCTGGCGAAGAAACGCTGTACGGTGCAGAATAATAATAATAATAAAATCACACGTCATCTACATCTACTGTGCATACATTCCACCAAATTCACCGCAAACAGTCTACGATTCACATTTAACAGCCATGCACAAAATCGCTACCGATCCTGCAGATGTTGTTATTTTTGTTGGTGATTTTAATCTGCCACATGTTGAATGGTCAATCAATAGCGACGATGACAACATCATAATTCCGACTAAATTTGCAGCGGAGTACACGGCAACTTTCATCCAGGGACTCATGAGCATGGGAGTTCATCAGGTAAATCA